GCCTTATTATTCAGGGCACCCAAGAATAGGAACCATAGTTTACAGAACTGACTTGGGACGTTCCCCCTTATAATAACAGTCCTGAATACCCAATGATAATCACGATTAAGGAATGTTCGTACAAGAACATCCCAACCTAATCCCGAAGCGGTTTCCTAAACCCTAAACCCTAAACCCCAAACCCTAAACCCTAAACCCTAAACCCTAAACCCTCCAGGTCCGTAGAGACTCCACAGGTCCAGCGGGGCCTTTCGGGGGCTTTAGCCCTAACCCCGAACCCCAAACCCGAAACCCGAAACCCGAAACCCTAGACCCTAGACCCTAGACCCTAGACCCTAGACCCTAGACCCTAGACCCTAGACCCTAAACCCTAAACCCTAAACCCTAAACCCTAAGCCCTCACCCGCAGGGGGGCAACCAGAGGTCGTCGGCTAGCGCAGGGTCTCTCTGTTAAAGCCGCGCGGTCGCAGGAGGAAGCTAGCAAAGCTCATCAGGGAGATGGAGAAGGAGAAGGAGGCGATGTGGTTTAGGGTTTAGAGTCTAGGGTCTAGGGTCTAGGGTCTAGGGTTTAGGGCTAGGGTTTTGGGTTTGGTGCCCCCCGAAACTATGGACCCTGTGATTGGCAGGGTTGGGGTGACAGAGTAGCCCTTGATACCTAAAACCAAAAACCTGAATCTTTCTGGCATAGTTTCAAGGGCCCTGAGTATGGGCCCTTAATTTTGGGAGTCCGTTTCTGCTCTATACAACCCAAGGGCCCATACTTCAGAACCCTCTAAGAAAGGTAAGGGATCGCAACCAAGGAGCCTGTAAACACCTAACTACTCTTTTGGAATCCTAGGACCCAGTGTGGGCCCTCATTCCCTTTTCAAGGGTTGTTTAGATGCCTTCTCAGCCCTTGAACCCAAAAACGGTCCCCCTTTAAATCCTAGGTTACTCACCTGAACCCCAAACCCCAAACCCCAAACCCCAAACCCCAAACCCCAAACCCCAAACACCAAACCCCAAACCCCAAACCCCAAACCCCAAACCCCAAACCCCAAACCCCAAACCCCAAACCCCAAACCCATTTTATTCCTAGGTTATTCTTGGTTCGAGGGGTTTAGTGTTCAGGGTTTAGGGTTTAGGGTTTACTGCGGCCATGAGGCTGTTGAATGACATTACTTGGGGTTTAGGGTTTCGGTCCATGGTTTTTTTGGATTTAGGCGCTTGTACACTACTAGGACCCCAACACCCGAAAGCGCAAAGTTTAGGGTTTAGGGCTTAGGGGCTAGGGTTTAGGGTTTAGGGTTTAGGGCCAACACACCTCAGGGGCCTGTATGGGCCGGAAGACCTTCCATTTCCGAGAAAGAAAAACTCAATCCTAAATTCGCAAAAGACGAACCAGTCCCCCACCCCCCGGCAAGACCCTAGACCCAAGAAAAGTCTCCCTAAACCCCGAAGCTTAAAACCCTTAAACCCGAAAGCCTCGAACCTTCTAATCTCTAACCGACCCCTAAACCCTTAACCCTTAAACCCTAAACCCTCAACCCTTGAACCCTAAACCCTAAACCCACAAAAACCCTAAAGCCTTGAGCCCTCTAATCTCCAGACCGAATCGACAGGCCATCGGCAAGGCCTTGGAGAAATCGGAAAGGGCCCGGTCCTCGGTCTCTGTCGAAAGTGGGCTGCTGAAGATGTTTAGGGTTTAGGGTTTAGGGTTCAGGGTTCAGGGTTCAGGGGCCTCGGTCTCTGGCGAGAGTGGTTCGATTAAGATTTTTCTTCTGCGACCAGCTGCCTCAACCCTAAATCTCAGGCACCCTAAGCCTTAAATCCTAACCCTAAACCCTGAACCCTGAACCCTAAACCCTAAACATAAAATGCTGTAACCCTAGGCCTGGCTGACCCTAGACCCTAGACCAAAGCCCTGAATCTAGGGGTTAGGGTTTAGGGTTTAGGGTTATGCCCCCTAATCCCTAGACCCTGGACCCTAGACCCAAACTCTGAATCCTATCCCCTCACGGGCACATAGGACCTCTAAGGGTAGTTTCTTGTTTTATGGGCCCTTAATATGGTCCTTTACCTCCTTGAAAGCGTTCTGCAGTATGGGCCCTTGGGTTGTAGAGGGTATATAAGCAGTGTATATAAGGGGTTCCCTATGTAATCTACCCTAAGAGGGCCTCGGTCCTACAACCTCAATTCGGGGCCTCTTTGATGTCGTCTCGGGATGGTAAGCGTGACTGTGAAGTCGTCTTTGCGTTCATGCTTGGAGGCTGCCAGTTAGGTTTTAGGGATTAGGCTTAGGGTTTGCGGTTTAGGGTTTAGGGTTTAGGGTTTAGGGTTTAGGGTTTAGGGTTTAGGGTTTAGGGTTTAGGGTTTAGGGTTTAGGGTTTAGGGTTAGGGTTGACAGTTTATGGCTTCGGGAACCGGATCCTCCGGGCAGGCGCCGTAACAAACACCCCCCGCCATCAAGTAAAGTCCCTAACACAGGATCCAATCTAATTCTCAATAGTATCCCCTTCGAGTTCTGAACCCTAAACCCTAAACCCTAAACGCTACAACCAAGACTTGTTCAAATTGGACATTGCAGGCGGTGCAACTGAGGTACTTAGCAGATGAGGGTTTCTGGGCAACGGTCCTTACGACACCAGGAGATGGTTTTAAGGCTAAGGGTTTAGGGTGTAGGGTGTAGGGTGTAGGGTTTAGACTTTACGTGAAAGGGGTTGCGGCTTCACGGGTTTCAAAGTGGAGGGTTTATAGGGTTTGGGGTTTGAGGGTTCAGGGCTTGGGGGTTAAGGGCGGGGGGGGGGGGGGGGCGATATTCAGGAACATTTGTTAGCCCCACGCCCTTGTACAAACCCGAAATCCTGAACCCTAAGCCCTGAACCCTCACCCAAAACCCTAAACCCTAAACCCTAAGCAAGAAGCCGCAGAAACCTGTTAGCTAACGTCACACTCCTCCCTCCGTGGCAGAAAGCCAAGAAGCTCCAGGAGGAGGTGGCAGCTGCGGTGTTTAGGTTTGGGGTTTGGGGTTTAGGGTTTAGGGTTTAAGGGTTTAGGCTTTAGGGTTTAGGGTTTAAGGGTTTAGGATTTAGGGTTTAGGGGTTTAGGGGTTGAGGGGTTTAGGGGTTTAGGGTTTGAGGGGGGCCCAAGGTTTGGCCTTGGGTAAGAAGCAGTCCTTAAACCCGGCAGGGGCATTTCCTAAAGCTGGGGTACCCCTTTTTCAAGCCCAGTTGTAGTAGAGTTTTCTTGAAAGGTACCCCCCAAAAAAAGGGTACCCCTTATTCGCGGAACCCTAAACCCTAGACCTCAAGTCCTACACTCTAAATCCAAAACCCTAAACCCTACCCCCCCCCCCCCCCCCCCCACATTAGCATGGTACGTTGCGGGGATGCCACTGAAGAGTCTTGGGCTCAGGGTATTAAGGAGGGTCAAGATCATAGTTGGGCGGGGCAGGATTTGGTTTCGGAAGGTTTAGGGTTTAGGGTTTCGGGTTTAGGTGTAGGGTTCAGGGTTTAGGGTTTAGGGAGGATGAAGGTTGAGAGCTTTTGGTACCAAAATAACCTCTGCACTCTTTCAAAGTTTGCCGCACTCCTCCCTTCCCTCTCTCTTTCTATCTATTTACTCTCTGCTCTGTGCTGCCTGCCTTTTGCCCTGCTCTCTGGAGCCTTCGTTTTAAACCGCGAACCCTCCCAATTCCGAGACATCCAGAAACCACATTCTCGAACCAAAGCCTTTTTCTCCAAGCACCCCTATCCCCTACAAAACCTATAACCTATAAAGCCCTAAACCCTGCAAACCGTGTGTTTGGCCTACCTGCAGGCGCTGGGCCCTTCACATGCAGCAGACGTTTCTGTACACTTCCTTGCTCAAGACCGGTTTAGGGTTTAGGGTTCAGGGTTTGGGGTAGTTTAGGGTTTAGGGTTTAGGGCTACACGTGGGACTTGCACTGCGCGGGACGTGCTATAAGAGGAACTCCTGAGCCGCCATGCTCTCCATTCGAAACATTTCTGGCGAGGAGGTGGTCAAGGTTTCTCAGGAGGACGTCGATAAGCTGCTTGGGGACATCTCATAGGTTCCCTTCTTGGGTTGAAGTGAGGATGGCCGTCTAGGAATATTTTTCAGAGAGTTTAGGGCTTAGGGCTTAGGGTTTAGGGTTTAGGGTTTAGGGTTTGGGGTTTAGGGTTTAGGGTTTAGGGTTTAGGGCTGGAGTGCTAAACGGGCGGACCGAGGCTGGCTTCGGCACACCGCGGTGCCGTCAGAGGTGTGGAGCAGCTTCTGGGTAGCTGAGTGGAGCCCCCCGTTTTGCCCCCTTTTTTTGGGGTCATGGGTGCTCTTAGAAGCAGTAGCCCTAAACCCTAAACCCGAAACCCTAAACCCCAAACCCTAAACCCTAAACCCTAAACCCTAAACCCTAATCCCTAAACCCTAACCTTGGCTACCAAGGCTCTTGGGCCCCCTTCTTGGGCATCCCAGCTGTCGGCTGAAGCTCTTGTGCGGGGCACGTGTCATGCGCCAGGATGCCTCCTTTGAACCCTGGTCGCGGTTTAGGGTTTAGGGTTAGGGTTTAGGGTTTAGGGTTTAGGGTTTAGGGTTTAGGGTTTAGGGTTTAGGGTTTAGGGTTTAGGGTTTAGGGTTTAGGGTTTAGGGTTTAGGGTTTAGGGTTTAGGGTTTAGGGTTTAGGGTTTAGGGTTTAGACCCCAAACATTCTAGTTACTGACCAAACCAAGGAACTGCCATGCGAGCTGCAAGTGGTCGTGAACGACTTTTGTTCTGCGACGGCAGAAGATGTGAAGCGATTGGTCGATGCTAGCCGTGCGACTCAGGTGCCCAGTAGTAACCTTATTTTTCTTTGGGGGTGCGGGCTGGGTTCCCTTACTAACCCTAAACCCTAAACCCTAAACCCTAAACCCTAAACCCTAAACCCTAAACCCTAAACCCTAAACCCTAAACCCTAAACCCTAAACCCTAAACCCTAAACCCTAAACCCTAAACCCTAAACCCTAAACCCTAAACCCAGCCACACAACCTGACAATCTGAACAGCCGAGGAGAACCATGCAGGGCAGGTGGAGGCCCTTCTGAGGCGCCCCCAAGATCCCGATTTGGTCGATGACCATGGCAAAACTGCGCTCACTATGGCAGCAAAGGATGGTGCTCTTGACACGGTTGCTGGGGCCCTTCTTGGGTTTTAGGGTTTGGGGTTTAGGGTTTAGGGTTTAGGGTTTAGGGCTACTGGGACCCAGAGTAGTCCCTTATTCAGTCTGTTCTCTTCGAAGCCCCTTTAACCCAGAAAGGGTGCCCCGTTGCATTCGTAGGTTATTCTTGGGTCTAGGTTACTGGGGCCGTTGGGCATATTTTCATCTTCCTTTAGAGCTGCTATTTGTTTAAGACCCCGCCCCCCGCAGCAACACAAAAATGATGAAATTCAATAAAAAATATAAAATTATATGAACCCCGAGATCGCCATATGTTGTTCATTTTCTACGGGGGACTCTTACGCAATTAGTAGATAAGGGTTATTGGGTTCGGGCCATATCTCAGGAATATTTTTCAGAGGGTGTTCTAGAGGCCCAACCTAGGTTAAGCTGCTCTTGGATGCAAAAGCGGATGTCAACAAGACGACAGAGGATGGTATTGGCGCATCCCCTTTTCTGTTCTTCAGCAGCTGAAGAAGCACACATTCTACACTTTTGGGATACGTTTATCCCCTATAGAACTGAAAGTTTACACCCTAAACCCTAAACCCTAAACCCTAAACCCGAAACCCTAAACCCTAAACCCTAAACCCTAAACTCAGGTTCGCGGTTGACGCCGGACATTTGGCGGTCGTGCGGCTGCTGGTTGAGATGGGTGCCGATACGGACAGCGCCACCAGAACCTTGGGAACGAAATGAGCCCTGAAAGGGTTTAGGGTTCATATACCTGAGTAGGAGTTAGAGTAGTATAGGGTACATGGCCCCAATTTTAGGGTGGTATAGGGTATATGGCCCCAATTTTAGGGGTTCATTTCGTCCCCAAGGAAGTGGCGAAACCGCTATTTTCAGAGCTGCTGCGAAAGGCCACGTCGCAGTGGTGCAATTACTGCTCGGCATGGGTGCCGACAAGGACAAGGCAACGAACAACGGTCGCACTCCTGTCTTCATAGCTGCTGCAAAAGGCCACGTCGAAGTCGTGGAATTGCTGCTTCGGATGCGTGCCGACAAGGACAAGGCAAACAACGAAGGCGCAACCCCTGTCGTGACAGCTGCTGCAGAAGGCCACGTCGAAGTCGTGCAATTGTTGCTTGATATGGGTGCCGACAAGGAAAAGGCCATGAACAACGGTGCAACCCCTGTTCCTGGGTGTTGGAGTACTCTACTTTAATACTTTTTTTGGTTCTGGGTTCCTATTATTGCTACTTATTCCCTAAAAAGTATGTGTTTTTTCCAGGGTCTACTCCAAAGCTAAGGTTCTCGCAGCTGCTGGGAAGGGCCAAGTAGAAGTGGTGCAGTTGCTGCTTCTTGGTAGCCCAGTGGTACCCTTCTTCCCTTTTTGTGTTTCTGGGTTCCCTTATTTAGGGTTTAGGGTTTAGGGTTTAGGGTTTAGGGTCTAGGGTTTAGGGTTTAGGATTATAAAGTAACCAACCAAAAAAAGGTCCCCTTGTTATAATATGGTTACTGGGCTATGAAGGCTTGCTATGGATGCCGACAGGGACAAGCCAATGATCAATGGCGCAACTCCTGTTTTCATAGCTGCTGTGCAAGGCTTCTGAGCTGAGTGAGTACACTTTATACACTTTTTTGGGGATACTATATCCCTTATAGAACTGAAAGTGTACACTTTGTTTGGGGGGCTTAAACCCTAAACTCTAAACGCTTATGAGCTCAGCAACTAACCCAGAGGGTCCATTTGTAGTACTATTATGGAATTAGGTACCCAAAAACCATACTAAATATGGTCTTGGGTACCTAATTCCATAACAGTACTACAAATGGACCCTCTGGGTAAGAAGGCCACGTCTCAGTGGTGCGATTGCTGCTTGAGAGCAAGGCCGACAAGGACAAGGCAATCAAGGGACTAGAGCAAGAGGTAGCGAACCCACAACCTTAATTCATGTACCCCACCCTAGGATTTTAACCCAATTCCCGAACAGTATCCTAAATCAAGCCTTCAAAACCATCCAAACCAAAGCCACCAGCCAAAACCCTCAAGAAAAACTTTCAAAACAATCCAAACCAAAGCTACCAGCCAAAACCCTCAACAAAAAGCCCTAAAAACCAAAGCCACCTAAGCAAAGCTTAGCCTCAACTAATTCTAATGAGGTTGGGGGGAAGAGCCTTATCTGAAATCTCCCCAAAGATTATAACCCTTATCCTATCCCGCCACTGACATGGTGGCGTCGCGCCACTGACATGGTGGCGTCGCGCCACTGACATGGTGGCGTCGCGCCACTGACATGGTGGCGTCGCGCCACTGACATGGTGGCGTCGCGCCACTGACGTGGCGTTGTCGTGCCACTGAGGGCGTGGTGTGTTCTAAATGAAAATGTCCCAAGTTTTAAATGAAAACGCATGAATAAACATGGTGATAAACAATAGTTCTATAAATGACTGTAATTGATAGAACTATTCCTTTATTTGTTCCATAAGTTCTTTATGTTTGGGACTTTTCTGATGCGACGCAAAGTTTCGTCTTGAAACCCAGCACCCACAGTCACACTGCTTCTTCTCCTTTAACTTGGCACTTATTGCTTCTCTGTTTTCTTCCCTGTATTGCCTATCAGTGGCATTTTTGTATTCCTTGTTCTGCTCTCTCCACTGCTTACTTTTTTCCCTTTGGTGCTCAACAGTTTCCCAATAATATTCTTTGCTCGTTCGTCCTACATGGGTTCTATTAACACATTCTTCGCTTCTAATGTAATGCCCTTCTCTTGCTTCAAGTTCCGCTCGTGAATTACACGGGTAGAGTTCCAGTAATTCTATTTTACAATTGTCAATCCCGAATTCTTTAAACAACCCAAAAGATGTTGTATATGGGTATTTGTTATTCAGATATAATTTGTATTTCGTCCTGTGCTTTGCCATTCGTTGCGAAAGTTCTTCAATGGTGCTTCCAATATAGCATTTGGTATAATTACTATCCCAGATTTTATAGACTTTGCCTTTCTGATAGTCTGGCATTTATTGCTGATATTTAATGCTTGTTAATCTTTATATATCTTTTCCTTGTTCCTTCTCAAACTTTCAACAACTCGTGTCTCAAGTATCCTCGGTTTTCATTATTCTCCAAATAGTAATAATTTTGTCCTAGTTTCTTTTCAATCCTTTTAACCAGTTGCGGTGTCTTGAGGTAATGCGAAGTACGTTCTTTTTCACTTATGCCTTTCTTACGCATTATTTTAACATCATTACCAACCTCTAGTTCAGGGTAGGTTCTATTGCGCTTCGCTTGTAAAGATATGTTTAATTTAACTTCTAATTCGTTTTTCTTTTTCTTAGCCTCTATCGGTGTAAATTTTGTGGTAGATGACACCATTTTATTATTATATGTTAATAATATTTCAAAATTATAGTCTATCCACTGTATATTAACTTTACCCTGTTTTTCATCAGCTTCAACCCGCTTGAACAGCATATCTTTGTATGTTCTTATAAACCTTTCCGCGAAGGCGGGGTGACCTCTAGTTCTATGTATTTCTATTTTTTCTTTTTCCAAATATTCTATAACTGTCTTACTATATAAACTACCCTCTTCATCTGAATAAAACATCTTCGGTTTATCGCCCATTTTTTGTAGCCCTTCCATTATTCCCGCCAACATGTCAGGCGGTTCTTTGCTCTTAATAGGTATAACAGTAGCATATTTACTAAAAATATCTATTAAAACTAATCCTATTCTAAACTTTTGGTTTTCTAAATCGTTCTTACTTATAAAAAACAAATCCACCTGATATTCAAAATGCGCGTGAGGTGCTACAAAACTATTCTCGCCTCTTGGTTTCCTTTTCTCTTCAACATTTTTCCGAAAAAACTCTTCAACATCCTCTTTCGTTATCCGTTTATCTTTCTCACGAGCTTCTTTAAGAGTAGTCGCCCTACTCCCGAAGCCGGAGCGGTCAAAATAAATATCATTAATTATTTTTTGTTTATCCATATAAATAATAATAGAGTTTTTTTATTTAATGAGCACTTACATTACAGTAGAAGCAGTAGGCACAACAGTTGTCTGAATGGTGACTATAGTCATTACAAAGCCTCTGGGCTGTGAAGTTGCTACATAACTTACCCTGTTTGGTTTCAAAGTTAAACGGTGTGTTGCACTTCTCGCATCTGCTTTTAAACCTCTGTAAGCACCACTCGGGCGTTATGTATGCTTCTTCATTTATTTCTCTTGATGCTTTCTTATCCTGTGCTTTGTAATTCTCCACCTTGTTCTTAAAATATCTCATAATCATATTTTTATTCATTTGTTTCTCCATTGAACCGCTTTTAAAAAACTTAACTTGTCTAAAATCAACGCACCTTGTTACTGCGCACCACAACCACTCTCTACTTGCTATTGGTAAGTCGCATTCGTGTATGGTTATGCTTCCTTTTACACTTGCTCCTTGTGACGAATGACAGGTGGCACAATACGAATAAATAAAATTAGCATCCACGACCGGCTCATATAACATAAACTCATCTTCCTCGTTTGCTATATTTTGTAGTGTTATTTGTGTCCCTAGCTTATCTGGCTTTAGTCTCATAATTTTATACCTTAAATTCACATTTACCCTCGGTTGTTTAATCCACTTTCTCGCTATTAGTACCTCCCCTACTTCATATTTATTCGTTTTGTTCATCCTTTCCCTTATCTCGTTTGCTACGTTTCTGCACCTCATATTGGTATATGCGATGTTATGCTCCGATGCCATTATGTCGTCAGTGGTTTCAAAATATTTTGGGACAATCTCTTCAAAGGGCAACTTCTTTTCCCAGAAGTCTTCATACATATCATTGATTATTTCCCTGTTTCTTTCGCCGTCCTCGCTGTCCTTCGCTCCTACCCTTTTACATATTTGTAAGAAAATGTTGTATCTAAAGACTATATCAAGGCAGTTGTCCATATACGTTGCTGGGTTCTGGCAGTTGGTCATTACTTCCACTCCTTGCAACTGCTTAACGTCGCCCGTAGCAACAACGATTATATCAGGATTATTTTTTATAAACTGCCTGACCTTATCTAAGACATATAAGTTGGACATATATATCTCATCAAAAACGATTATCTGAAAAGGCGAGTAATCAAAACTCGGTAGCTTCTCTCCAGCATTCTCATCCACAGCGATGCTGAAAAACTTGTTATACGTTGTCGCTTCCACTTCCTTCTCTTGTAAAAGCCGATTGGTTGGAACTACAAATAAAACGTTATAGCCCATTTTTTGGAAGTATTCGCCTATACAACTTTTTCCACTACCGGCAAAACGAGCGCGGATTAAACAAGGGTTTTGTGTGATAATTTGCTGACATATCGGGTGAGTGTCCCATTCGTCTTCTACTGCGATATTGACATTTGTAACTTTCGGGATGCTGGGCAGTTCGTTGTGTTTATATGTGTATAACTGCGTGGGTATTGTGATGGTTTTTTTGTCTTCCAGCCTCCAGTCGCCAATTTCATTTCCGACCTTGAGGTGTCCTTCTCTCCAGTGTCTTAAGAACATGTATCCACACACCTTCGGGACATCATCTTCATGAATTGTCAGGCAGTCTGTTTTAATACTATATACCCTGATATGATTATCATTCAGTGTCTTGTATGCTTCATACATCTTAAAGTTGTGATACTGTAGCAACAGCTCCTTTATGTAAATAAATCCGTTTATTAAGGTTTTCTTTTCAGAGGTGCTTAACACATAATATTTAGCTCCTTCTGTCTCTTTTGTTTCTAACTCGTCCTCATTCACTTCATACAGTTCCGTCTGGCACTCGCTTATTGTATATATCTTTCCTCCATAAAGGCTTTGATAATAACACGCCTCGCTCAAAGAAGTAAAGGTGCTACTTCTCTGGCTTGTGTTATGCGACTTCTCTAACATGCCGACGCTGATGTTCCACAGCTTTTTGTGAGTTTGTTTGTTGAGGTTTTCGTCGCTTGTTATTTTCGTTGTGTATAGTTCCTCAATCAGTTTTTTGTAATCAACTTTGAACACTTTACTCGGTTGCTTATACCATAGTATGTTAGGCTTAACGTTGTCCTTCAGCATTTGCTTTAAAAACTTGCCATATACTAAACAAAGCTTTTTATTGAAGAACAGGTCGCCTTCATACACTTCTACTATGTATAAAGTCAGATTGTTAAACTGATGCATATCACAACTCTCGTTAAAGGGTCTAAAAATGTCAAACTGTGTAAAGCGGGGTATTTTCGTTATTGATGCTCCCGCGTGTGTGAAGGCTTTGTTAATATCTATTTCTCTTACCTTCTTCAATGAAATATCTTTAACAAACCTACCTGTTGGAACGATTGTTTTACACTCCTTGAGTATTTCTATATCTACTTCGTTATAATAGGATAAATGGCTTTCGTTAAACAGCTCCTTCTGGAGTTTAAACATAGTCTGAGTTATTTTGTTATACACCTCTTCGTCATCAACCACCACGTCTTCGTCAAGGCGGTCCTTTTGACAAACTCTGTGATACAATGTTGTATTTAACATATTTCTTCAAGTTTTTGTAATAAAACTTACAAAATATATTCATAATCTGCCCCGCTTGATACTTTATATGTGGTTTGTATCCAGCCTCGCTGAGCTGATGAAACACCTTAGCTAAATTGTTCTCGGAGTGTAGAAGGGAATATTCTTCTTTATCGGTCATCTTTAGTAGCTCGTCTATGTTCTCAAACATTTTGTATTCAACAGATTCGGTTCTGTCGGTAATGTAAAACTTACTCGTGGCGAAAGCGTTAAAATTCTCTTTTGGCTGGACTTGCTTTAACGTAACCAAGTCGTTATTTAATAAATATATGTGATTATTCTTCACTAAGCCTCTGAATACTTTTACTCGTCCCTTTTCATAATTAGGAGGGTTGTATTCATAAATCATCGCCCCTGTGAAGTTATACAGCCTAACAGGTATATTAAAAAACTTGAAGACACTGTCCATTTGATTTATAGAAGCCCCGTTATTAACGAATTCATCCTCACTCATTTCCAGTATCTCAAGGACTTTTTCACGGGTTAAGGTTTTTACATTCTTTTGTTGTCGCTTTACCTTCGTCAGCTCAGTTCCTTCAAAGTTTTCCAGCAAGGCGTTTATCCAACACTCGTTCTCTCTATAGTTCTTCTTTCGTAGCGCCTCCTTAATGGTCTCGGCATCTCCATCAACTTCGGTCTGAATGTATCGGTAGTAGGTGCTGATGTTCTGGGCTTCTTTTAATGGCTGGTCTTTTTCATCGTAGTCGCCAGTGTCCGTTTCCACCAGCTCAACACTGTCAATTCTAATGACATCGGCGTATTCCTTTACCACGCCTAAATTCTGAAACTCACTGCTGGTGTTCATT